CTACTAATATGGATGAGTCTGTATATCAGTGCTACTAATATGGATGAGTTTGTATATCAGTTCTACTAATATGGATGAGTTTGTATATCAGTTCTACTAATATGGATGAGTTTATATATCAGTTCTACTAATATGGATGAGTTTGTATACCAGTTTTGAAATAGCATCCTGCTACGTCTAATCTTGTTTTTTATTGATTGATTAAGGTAAATACATTCTATTTGACAGTTAAAATATTGATGGCAGTCGGTAGTCCACAGTAAAATGATCGGTTGATGGTAATCAGTAGTCCTCGGTGAAATGTTCAAATGGTGATAATCAGCAGTCCACTGTGAAGTGATCAACTGATCGTAATCGGTAGTCCACTGTGAAGTGATCACTGGATAATAATCGTTAGTCCATAGTGAAATGATCAGTTGATGATAATCGTTAGTCCATAGTGAAAGGATCAGTTGATGATAATCGTTAGTCCATAGTGAAATGATCAGTTGATGATAATCGTTAGTCCATAGTGAAATGATCAGTTGATGATAATCGGTAATTCACAGCGAAATGATCAGTTGATGATAATCGGTAATTCACAGCGAAATGATCAGCTGATGATAATCGTTAGTCCATAGTGAAATGATCAGTTGATGATAATCGGTAGTCCATGGGCAAATAAACAAATGAAAGACGAACCTGTCAGTGTTTAAGGTTTCACATTTTATAGGAAGACCATAAATCTTCATCTATATCTTAATGGACCTCAAGAAGGTTTCAATAGATAGGCCAAACTTCCGGCTCTGAATACTTCTTTCTAGAAATGAGCAGAACCCAGCTATAAACAAACAATAATACACATTGAAGAAATAAATTACAAAAAGATTTACGTGCATAAGATCACGGATGTTCTTTGTATTTCGACAAAAATATTAACGCCACTGTTATACTGGTTTTCGAGCTTTTATATTAACAGTATAAGATATAAATATTTTTTTTTGATTATTATTATTATTATCTCCCATAGCTTTATATGGTGACATCAGCATTCTTTTATTTAAAGTATTTCAATTATACAGATGGAATCTCCTTGAATTAACAGTGTGTTTCTAAATAAATACATCTTTTGTTACCGATAGCTAGTTTTAATTACTCTTATGATGTCAGAAAAACACGAAGGTTCAGCAAGTCTTGATACAAAATGATAAAAACCCTATAACCAGAGCGCTTTCTAAAGGTGGATCTTTCTTCTTCAGGAGCAAACTGAGATGTTAGTTTTAGTTACTGTTATTCATAGCACAGTAAACACTTTCCTGTACAACTTATTTGAATATACTACGTTGGTGGTGGTGATATATTCCAGCTGTTCTGAAGAATACTTTTAAAACTAAGCACAAGAATATGGGTTTCTGTATTTAAGTAATATGGTTCTGTTTCTGAATTTTCAGATCTTTCTTGTGATATATCTCAGTCTTCTGCTCTATGTAGCAAACGGTGAGGAAGAAGTAAAAACTACTGACTCTAAGGATCTCAAGACTGGGGCTTCTGGATATGTTGGTGGTGACAAAGGAGGAATTGGAGGTGGTAGTAAAGGAGGGTATGGAGGTGGTGGTAAAGGAGGCTATGGAGGTGGTGGAAAAGGAGGTTATGGAAGTGGTGGTAAAGGAGGGTATGGAAGTGGTGGTAAAGGAGGGTATGGAGGTGGTGGTAAAGGAGGGTATGGAGGTGGTGATAAAAGAGGGTTTGGAGGTGGTGGTAAAGGAGGATTTGTGAGTGGCGTAGGAAGAACTGGTAGTGGATTCATAGGCAGTGTAGGAGGAACTAGTAGGGGATTTGTAAGTGGTGTAAGAGGAACTGGTAGCGGATTCGTAGGCAGTGTAGGAGGAACTGGTGGGGGATTTGTAGGTAGTGTAGGAAGAACTGGTGGGGGATTTGTAGGTAGTGTAGGAAGAACTGGTGGGGGATTTGTAGGTAGTGTAGGAGGAATTGGTGGTGGATCTGGGAGACGTATAGATGCCCTAGCATTGCTTGCTATCCCTATAAACCTAGCATCTGGAGTAGGGATAGGTGGATATGGTAGAGGAGCAGTATTGGGTGGACATGGCGGCGGAAGGATAGCGGGTGGACATGGCGGCGGAAGGACAGCGGGTGGACATGGCGGCGGAACTGTAGCAGTTGGATACGGTGGTATTGGAGTAACAAGTATCAGAGGTGGTGGATATGGAAGAAGTGGAACCATAAGAGGGGGTTTTATGGGAGGAGATTGAAAGAAAGGTTGGTATAACTAAAGAGATAAAAGTATGATAATAATGTTAAACACAAATATAACTCTTTACTTTGGAGCAACGTCGCCTCTATCATTAGACAAGAGAATTTCTAACATCACCAATAATTTTATATTTAATAAATACTTAATATTTAATCTCAATATTTGAAAGTAATGCTAAGTATAGTTTTTTTGCGGTCAACAGTAAATTTAACATTCGTTTACACTTTTATTCCGTGTTTCAGGTTTTCTTTCACAGAAAAAAAAACCTCTTCATCTCAGAAAGTTGGTAGGGCGTTAATCCTGAACAGTGTAATTGGAGTTCATCCAGCTGTAACAGATTGGAGACAACGTTTTAAAATGTTAGTGTAGATTTTCGTCATTCTTCATCATCTATAACTACTTCTAGATGTCACCGTTTCATTACTGCATCCTATTGCTTGAATGTCATTTTGTTGTGAACGAAATATTTGTTAAATAAAAAGCTTGCCAATACAGTTTTTACTGGGCTCGGTTGATGACTTGGTTTGAAATATTCTAACAATACTTGTTTTGTTTTTCTAGTGAATATACGTCGGATTTTATATTGTTTGTTTCTGAAGAAAAATAAAACATTTTTGCTTGAACATCATTTTTATTTACACCTTCATGAGTGGTTTGTGTTTTACCGTTTCTTGTTTATCTTACGTTGCATTATATAAAATAATCGCTAAATATTTTGTTTTTAAAATGCGTATAGCGCTCTCTAGAGTATAATATTATGTATATATTTTACTTGATTTTATATCACCATGCTTGAACGTAAATATCAAACTGGTGTAGCTCACAAATACAGAAAGCAACGATGTGACCAACAAATACAGAAATAAATGGTGTAGTTGCTTTCTGTATTTGTGAGCGATGTAACTCACAAATACAGAAAGCAACGGCGTAACTCATAAATATTGAAGAAAACCACGTGACACAAAGATTTAAGATGTTACAACATGAGACACATACAAAAAGCAATACATGACATACAAATACAGAGATCAACAATGTAACTCACAAATACAGAAAGCAATGACGTAACATACAAATACAAAAAGCAATGGCATAAAGCACAAACATGCAGAACAACGACGTAACACTCAAATATAAACCGCAACGACGTAGCTCACAAATATATAAAGAACCGGCACAACTCACAAATATTGAAGAAAACAACGTAACACAAATATACAAAATGCTACAACGTGAGACACATATAGAGAGTAAATACATTGGACAGAAATACAGAAAGCAACGACTTGACAGAATTTATGTTGAGGTTGCATGAAAAAAATATTCATGGTTTTACATTCACAGGCACAGCGGTATGTCTGCTGACTTACTACGCTAGAAACTGGGTTTCGATACCCATGGTGGGCAGAGCACAGATAGCCTATTGTGTAGCTTTTTATAAGAGACAAGCTCATATGAATTAAACTGTCTCATAAAAACCGAGCCCACTCTGATGGATTCAACCGATTCAAATTCGAAATACTGTACATTACTGACTGGAACTTGAACTCTTTGAATACCGATTTCCCTGACCTGTGTATGTTTACTGTGTAATGTGATTAAATACAGAAAATGTTGAGACTCAGAATAATATTCATATATTTTGACAGACAAATATTTCAGATTGTTAATGGCGTAGCTACAAAAACCAGTCTAGATAAAAATAATAAGCTTTTCGTACCTTTAACTGAAAGTGTCTGGAAAAATATAATTGAAATAATCGAATTATTTTAGCAAATTTAATAAATTGTGGATAGATGGCACCACATTACATCAGCATGCCCTCCTGTCCAATCTCCAAGTCCTCCTTCCCCTTCAGCATGCTCTCCTGTCCAATCTTCAAGTCCTCCTTCACCTTCTGCAAGTCTTCCTGTCCAATCTCTAAGTCCTCCTACACCATCAGCATGCCCTCCTGTCCAATTTCCAAGTCCTCCTAAACCATCAGCATACTCTCCTGTTCAATCTCCAAGTCTTCCTACACCATTAGCATGTCTTCCTGTCTAATCTCCAAGTCCCCCTACACCTTCAGCATGCTCTCCTGTCCAATCTCCAAGTCCTCCTTCACCTTCAGCATGCCCTTCTGTCCAATCTCCAAGTCCTCCTACACCATCAGCAAGTCTTCCTGTCCAATCTCCAAGTCCTCCTACACCATCAGCATGCCCTCCTGTCTACTCTCCAAGTCCTCCTACACCATCAGCATGCCCTCCTGTCCAATCTCAAAGTCCTCCTACACCATCAGCAAGTCTTCCTGTCCAATCTCCAAGTCCTCCTACACCATTAGCATGTCTTCCTGTCTGATCTCCAAGTCCTCCTTCACCTTCAGCATGCCCTTCTGTCCAATCTCCAAGTCATCCTACACCATCAGCAAGTCTTCCTGTCCAATCTACAAGTCCTCCTACACCATCAGCAAGTCTTCCTGTCCAATCTCCAAGTCCTCCTACACCATCAGCAAGTCTTCTTGTCTAATCTCCAAGTCCTCCTACATAATCAGCATGTCTTCCTGTCCAATCTCCAAGTCCTCTTACACCATCAGCATGCCCTCCTTTCCAATCTCCAAGTCCTCCTACACCATCAGCTTGCTCTCCTGTACTAACTCCTACTCCTATGGCACTACTTGTAAAGCCTTCTTTATCACCTCCATGTCTTCTACCAGTATATCTTCCCCCGTAACCCGTAGCTTCAGCTAGAAGATTCTAAGTTTTAGTGGTTTTAATTTTCTTTTCACCGCCCATGCCCGACAAAGAACGGCACTGACACAAAGCACAGCAAAGATCTAGAATGTCAGAGAGAATCAAAATATTTTATTTCACTGGAAACTCCACTGAAGTGACCTTAAGTCGACATTGAAAACTTTTGTTGTTGGTGTTGAATACTTTATTTAAAGTTGCCATAATCTTACTTTTCGCTAGCTCAAAGGTATTTTAATTATAACAGTTTATACTGTACTATTTAGAAAGATAGTTTGAAGCTATATATTTCTATCTTTACCCAAGCTGAGCCGATAAGAGCTGCCACTATTCGAATCTACAATCCAGAAGTTATACACAACAGGAGGTTTCATATTACGACATTACGTTAGTAATTCCTACATCGAAATAACAACAACGTCAATGAGAAAATGAAATGTTGGAGAATTAGCGTCAATAAATTCACAAGAATCAAAAAATCCTCATTTTCATAAAATCTCCACAGTTAACTCGGGAAATCGACGAATTTTATGAGAGAATTTCACAAGTTAAGAACGTTTACAAGACTAAGAATACACAAGAAACAAAAGTTTCATTTACAATACCTCCAAGATCCTTCAGTTAAATCTAGCCTGATCTTTCAGAAGTAGTAGTTTATATCAATTATATCTAACATGATCTTTCAGAAGTAGTAGTTTATATCAGTTAAATCTAACCTGATCTTTCAGAAGTAGTAGTTTATATCAATTATATTTAACCTGATCTTTCAGAAGTAGTAGTTAATATCAATTATATCTAACCTGATCTTTCAGAAGTAGTAGTTTATATCAATTATATCTAACCTGATCTTTCAGAAGTAGTAGTTTATATCAGTTAAATCTAACCTGATCTTTCAGAAGAATGAGGGAAATGAGATCACACACACCCATTTATCAGACTATAAAACTGTAATTTTCAGTCAAACTTTCCTTGTGATGGTGACACTTTATGATCCAAATCTCTGATGACATAAAGTAAAAGCTGACTGATCAATTAGCGCGCATAGAATGTCTGATTAAAGTATTTTAAGTTTTCAAGATGTTATTCAACAATTCTTAGATGTCCTTAAACCTTTACAGTTCAACAAAATACCCGAGTGTAAGACAAATTTTTCCATAAAAACTAAATACTTTATGGTGTCTTTGTTTTTTGATTAGTTGTAAGACAATGTAAATAGTTAAGAAATAACAATAAAATAGAAATTTGATTTAAAGATCATACCCAGTGTTTCTATTGGATATTTTTTTAATTCAAAATGTCCATAAAACTACACACACCCCTTTCTTCCTTGTAGGCGGTTAAGTCTAGTTTGATTTCAGACAGGAAGAGAATTACACACACACATCACTTGTGGATGCCCACTTTTTTTATAGTTTAACGTATATGAATTTGAAAGAAATGCGTGGTTAAACCGAGCTAAGCCTTGAAATAGGTCAGTGCTGTTTGTAATGCCACAGATGCGTTTAGATTTTTTTTTATACAAATACTTCGCACAGACATTTAGTTCAGGCTTCTCTTATGCAAATTACTATTAGAAAGTGTGCCTGGAAAATGTTGTTTTTTCAAGCACCTAGAATAGAAACATTTATTTCTAAACACCAGGTGAATGTTCGAAAGATAACAAGTCTTCGTCACTGGACCACGAGAGGATCTGGTTCAGTAGTTAAATTGATATTTTGAAAGAGGTAAAACCTCTTTTTGCGATCCACTTTATATTAGCAGCGTGAATTGCAGAGTTGTCCAATTAGAAAACCAGGAACGCTTGTGTCTTGAGTTCTCAAGAGGCGGACTGCTTCCGCCTCAACTTAACCCTCTTATTTGATTGTTTGTTTTGAATTTCGCGCAAAGCTACACGAGGGCTATCTGCGCTAGCCGTCCCTAATTTACCAGTGGGAAGACAGCTAGTCATCACCACCCACCGCCAACTCTTGGGCTACTCTTTTACCAACGAATAGTGGGATTGACCGTCACATTATAAAGCCCCCACGGCTGAAAGGGCGAGCATATTTGGTGGGACGGGGATTCGAACCCGCGACCCTCAGATTGCGAGTCGAGCTCCTTAACCACCTGGCCATGCCCCCTTATTTGATCTACTAATAAAAAGTATTATAAAGACATAAACAAAAGAAACATACGTGCATGTTTAGGTAACTCAACAATTTGAAAACTACACGCATGACTTCCACTCTCTGTAAAACGAAGTACAGAATACGGTAATTTTACGACAATAATTACCATACAGTTCACCATTATATCGTAAAACATTCAACATGAAACCGCTATAATTTGGAAACACAATATTTCCAGCATGAACGCTTCCATCAAAAGAAGTATCTAAAACAAACTTTATAATGCGATTTCTACTTTATAAAAAAGTAAAGACAGTAACATAGATGCTGGATCTAGATTGTGTGTGGTAAAAGTCTTAGCCCGAGTGGGAAGATTTCTAGTAGACTTCACTATTGCGTTACTACACTTAAATGCTACGTCACTTCCGCCATTTCTGGTTGATTCACCGTAATTGCCTGATATATTTCATAGATCACTTGTGACTTCAAAATTACCACTATGTTTCATGTATTTCAAACTTGGGTTCCATACTTCATTTCAAAAATGTTATTAGATGGTCTTCAAGTTAAGTTCTTGAGCAATGTACAATAATTGTTTTTCAATGTAATTATGACTTCTTGCAGGCTATTCATAACCAGATTTATGGAGATGCGCGATTAAAAATGTGATTGGTTATTGAAAAATAGGATGAGAGATAACATATACTCTCAGAACCAAATCCTAGTAAATAATATCATATAAGGAAAGGGGTATTTTAAACCACAGAACCAAATCTTAGCAAATAATATCAGATAAGGGAAGGGGTATTTTTAACCACAGAACCAAATCTTAGCAAATAATATCAGATAAGGAAAGGGTTATTTTTAACCACAGAACCAAATCTTAGCAAATAATATCAGATAAGGAAAGGGTTATTTTTAACCACAGAACCAAATCTTAGCAAATAATATCAGATAAGGAAAGGGGTATTTTAACCACAGAACCAAATCTTAGTAAATAATATCAGATAAGGAAAGGGGTATTTTTAACCACAGAACCAAATCTTAGTAAATAATATCAGATAAGGAAAGGGGTATTTTTAACCACAGAACCAAATCTTAGCAAATAATATCAGATAAGGAAAGGGTTATTTTTAACCACAGAACAAAATCTTAGTAAATAATATCAGATAAGGAAAGGGGTTTATTAACCACAGAACCAAATCTGAAATTTGTGGATAATTCGATAATATCTTCATAGCGATAAACGTTAATTTGTATAACAATCTTGCAAATAAAATGTTCCAAGCTAATGTGCACATCGTACCATTTACCTAACATTGTACTTCCATGATGTCTCAAATCCTCAGAAATACTTGACAGGTGGTGGTACTATTCACCTAACATTGTAGTTCCATGATGTTTAAGATCTTCAAAAAGACTTGACAGGTGGTACTATTCACGCAACATTGTAGTTCCATGATGTCTCAAATCCTCAGAAATACTTGACAGGTGGTGGTACTATTCACCTAACATTGTAGTTCCATGATGTTTAAGATCTTCAAAAAGACTTGACAGGTGGTACTATTCACGCAACATTGTAGTTCCATGATGTTTAAGATCTTCAGAAAGACTTGACAGGTTGTACTATTCACTCAACATTGTAGTTCCATGATGTCTCAGATCCTCAGAAATACTTGACAGGTGGTACTATTCACCCAACATTGTAGTTCCATGATGTCTTAGATGCTCTAGGAGACTTTACATAGGGTTATCTGGAATAAAATAGTTATCTAAAGTGTTTTAACTTGATAAGTTGGTATAACCTAATTAGTCTTTGAAGATATAATATAAAATATGTGTTTGCAATTGATGCCCTGAATATGATTCAATTTAAGTTTGGAATTAGTAAAAACTTGCTTACCGTATCTTGCATACAAGTTTCGCCATCTTACGGACACTATGAGTATAGGGAAAAGTCTTAAGACTGAAGTACGGAAACTATGAATATAGAGAAAAGGCTTAAGACTGAAGTACGGAACTATGAATATAGGGAAAAGCCTTAAGACTGAAGTACGGAAACTATGAATATAGGGAAAAGGCTTAAGACTGAAGTACGGAAACTATGAATATAGGGAAAAGCCTTAAGACTGAAGTACG